CAGTAGCCCTGAGGGATACAAAGAACAAAAACACAGAGACCAATGTTATCCCTTTCATGGGAGGCTTTTCTTTGTAGTAAAATTATATGGTTGCACTATTTCCATAACACAAATAAACAAATACATAGTAGCTTTACACATAGCAGCCTTCACACTGGAGCTTTCTCGCACGAAGCTTCTCTCACACTGAGGTTTACCTTACACTCCTCAGGACAATACTAGCTTTTGGCCCACTAACTCTTAACAGGATTCGGCCTATTCACTCTCCTTAGGATGACACTAGCTTTGGCCCACTGACTATCAGGCTTCGGCCTACAACCTCTTTCAGTGATTGACTCACACTTTTGTAATAAAAAATACTCAGTTAATTTTTCCAGTATTTCTGACAAATATACACATCCACCTGCTGAAAGACTACTACTTTATGGTCACACATGGACCAAGGAACAGACATTTGCGGAACAAGAGCTTTCTGCGTCTTTTCCAAACAAAACAACATCTCCAAAGCACCCTTCTTTTGCCATTAATCACCATGGAGATCTACCTGTCCAGTCAATGGGATGGGATATTCCAAAATAAGAACAGTCCATTCCTAAGCATATTTAATTATTATTATTATTATTATTATTATTATTATTATTACTTTATTTTTATACCCCACCAACCATCTCCCCTAGGGGACTTGGGGTGGCTTACAAGGGACACACCCAAGATTACAATTAAAACACACATGTAAACGCACAAAACTAAGCCCCACATATTTCCATAGGCTGACAACCTCCACATCCAGCGAAGTATTTTAAAGTAATTGTTTCTGTGATACAAATGGACACCCAGTTCTAGCTTTCGGACACACAACTGAGACAACATTGGCACATACAGTGTTGGCCATGGGCCAAGAACAAAGAAGCTACATGGGTTAATTCTAGTAACACACATATTTGCACCTCTGTATTTGCTGGGTTTGTTCATGTGTTATTTTCACTTCAATCCAGACATCAGAATTGTATGTAAGGGGGAGGATTCCCTCCTGAAACACCTGAAGGGGATGCCCAGCACCAATTCCTTTGCATTACATGAATTCCCAAAACATAACCATCACACATTTCTTATAAGGATGGAGGGTATGAGTTTCACTAAATCAGCCAACAGGTTTCAAGGAAAAGTGAAAAGAATTTTCTTAAATGAAATGCCTTCCTTAATGCTCACCCATACATACAGGCCTATTCCTCATCCAATCAGACCAGGAAAATTAATACAGATTGAGTTCCCCTTATCAGAAATGGTTGGGACCAGAAGTGTTTGGGATTTCAGATTTCTCCCCACCCCACAACCCCAAATTTTGGAAAACCTGTATTTGAGTATCTGTACATAAGGAGGTATCTTAGAGATGGAACCCAAGTCTGAACGAAAAAAAGAAAATATTTATATGTCATATACAGGTATTGGTAAAGGTTTTCCCCTGACATTAAGTTCAGTCATGTCCGACTCTGGAGTGTGGTGCTCATCTCCATTTCTAAGCCGAAGAGCCGTCGTTGTCAGTAGACACCTCCAAGGTCATGTGGCCGGCATGACTGCACGGAGCGCCCTTACCTTCCCACTGGAGCGGTACCTATTGATCTACTCACATTTGTATGTTTTCAAACTGTAAGGTTGGCAGAAGCTGGGGCTGACAGCGGAAGCTCACACTACTCCCAGGTTTTGAACCTGTGACCTTTCGGTCAACAAGCTCAGCAGCTCAGAGGTTTAACCCACTGTGCCACCAGGGGCTCCCATACAGGTATACACAGCCTTAATGTAATTTTATATTAAATATTTGTAATAATTTTGGGCATGAAGCAAAGTTGCGTACCTTGAGCTATAAAACAAAAGAAATTAAAAATAAATGGAAGACGTGTATAGAATGGACAGAAAGAGGCAAAACCAATTCAAATATTGTACAGAAGTTAAGGAAATTGTGTGCTTAGTTCAAGATATAAAGGAAAAGTATGTGGTCAGAGGGAAGGGCAACAGCGGGGTGGGGTTGAAGGGTGTTAACAATAACAAATGTCATCACAGAAAAGGAAGTATTAAAAGAGAAGGTGCAGAAAAGTGAAATGTTACATGAAAATGAAGTGTGTATAAGTATGAGCACTAACAGAAACTAAGTATCTAAATAAGATGCTGTAATGCTGAAACAATAAAAATCTTTGCTACTAAATATTTTAGTTATTTCATATATGGGGATAATTGAAATAACTTGGCCCTGAGCTTACAGTACCACACTGTACTATTTATTTGTTTTTTAACTTTTGTTCTGAGCTTTGTAAATTTGAGTACAGTGTGGGATTGCTGGGTGCCTTGAAAGGCAGAGTATAAAGAAAGTTAATAATAATAATAGTCATACTTTTTATCCCGTAGGTCAGGCATGGACCAACTTTGACCCTCCAGGTGTTCTGGACTTCAACTCCCACAATTCCTAGCAAGCCGCTAGTATTCCAAGTGACCTCACCCGGAAAACTATGTCCAAATCTGGGCATCATGGTTCAAAAGAGATATTGACAAGCTGGAAGGGGTCCAGAGGAGGGCAACTAAAATGATCAAAGGTCTGGAGACCATGAATCCCTATGAGATGCATCTTAAAGAAATGAGTCTGTTTTGCCTGAAGAAGAGAATGATAACCATGTAATATATGTGAATGGATGCCACAAGGAAGATGGAGTAGGCTTGTTTTTTTTGCTCCCCTGGAAACTAAAGGGCCTTTCACAGCACCATATAACCCAGAATATCAAGGCAGAAAATCTCAGTCCACACTGCCATTTACTCCAATTCAAAGCAGATAATGTGGGATTTTATTCAGCTGCGTAGAAGGGACCTACAACTCAAAGAAATGGGTTCAAATCAAAGAAAATTCCACCTGAACATTAGAAAAATAACTTCCTGGCTGCAAGGGCTGTTCAGCAGTGGAACTCTCTGCCTCAGAGTGTGGTGGAAGCTCCTTCCTTGGAAACTTTTAAACAGAAGCTGGATGGTTATCGGTCGGGGATACTTTGATTGTGCTTTTCCTGCATGGCAGAGGGTTGGACTAGATGGCCCATGTGGTCTCTTCCCACTCTATGATTCTAAGGGCAGCTGGACAACCCATTTATACCAGACACTGGATTGCCATCTATTAAAGATACTTTGATTGTGCTTTTCCTCCTGGCAGGGGGTTAGCCTAGATGGCTCATGTTGTCTTCTCCAACTCTATGATTCTAATATGTGGGAGTTAAATCCGAGGCCCTGAGAGACTCTGTTGACTCTGGGAAATTGAAACTTCTGTTTTTATGTTTTATGTTTGTTTTATGTCTGATATAATATAGGCCATACAGCCCGGAAAACTCGCAGCAACCCAGTGATTCCGGCCATGAAAGCCCTCGACAATACATTAAGATTATTATTATTATTATTATTATTATTATTCTACACTGTCATTTAATCCAGATTTTTCAAAGCAGATAATCCACATCTACACTGCCATGGGAGCCCCCGGTGGCGCAGTGGGTTAAACCGCTGAGCTGCTGAAATTGCTGACCAAAAGGTCGGCGGTTCAAATCTGGGGAGCAGGGGGAACTCCCACTGTTCGCACCAGCTTCTGTCAACCTAGCAGTTCGAAAACATGCAAATGTTGAGTAGATCAATAGGTACTGCTTCTGTGGAAAGGTACTGGTGCTTCATGCAATCGTGCCAGCCACATGACCTTGGGGGTGTCTACGGACAATGCCGGCTCTTCAGTTTAGAAATGGAAATGAGCACCACCCCCCAGAGTTGGACAAGACTGGACTTAATGTCAGGGGAAGACCTTTACCTTTATGTCTGATATAATAGGCCATACAGCCATGAAAGCCTTCGACAATACATTATTATTATTTTCCTGACACATAATAAAAAATATTATTATCATCATTACTAGTACTATTCAACACTTCCATATAATCCAGATAGTCTTTGACAATACATAATTATTACTACTATTCTACAGTACCATAAAATCCAGATTTTTCAAAGCAGATAGTCCACATCAAGGCTGCCATAGAATCTAGATTACCAAAGAAGATAATCCACATCTAGACTGACATAGAACTCAGTTTACCAAAGCAGATAGTCCACATCTGGACTGACATAGAACCCAGATTACCAAAGAAGATAATCCACATCTAGACTGACACAGAACCCAGATTACCAAAGATAATGCGCATCTAGACTGACATAGAACCCAGACTACCAATGAAGATAATGCACATCTAGACTGCCATAGAACCCAGATTACTAAAGCAAATAGTCTACATATAGACTGACATAGAACCCAGATTACCAAACAAGATAATTCACATCTAGACTGCCATAGAACCCAGTCTACCAAAGATAATAATGGACATCTAGACTGACATAGAACCCAGAGTACCAAAGAAGATAATGCACATCTAGACTGACATAGAACTCAGATTACCAAAGCAGATAATCCACATCTAGACTGACACAGAACCTAGTCTACCCAAGATAATCCACTTCTAGGCTGGCATAGAACCCAGTCTACCAAAGATAATAATGCACATCTAGACTGACATAGAACTCAGATTACCAAACAAGATAATTCACATCTAGACTGCCATAGAACCCAGACTACCAACGAAGATAATGCACATCTGGACTGACATAGAACCCAGATTACCAAAGAAAATAATGCACATCTAGACTGACACAGAACCCAGTCTACCAAAGATAATTCACATCTAGACTGTCATAGAACCCAGATTACCAAAGCAGATAATGCACATCCACAGTGCCATAGAATCCAGTTCAAAGTAGATTACCTGGACTGTATATGGCAGTGCAGAAGGGGCCTGAGAAGCCACACACAGCACGGAGGCAGGGAGATTCAAAGGGAGGTGAGCAGGCACTACCCAATCCCTCCCGGCAGAGGGCCAGCCAGATCCCCCACCCACTCACCCACCCACCCACCCACTTAGCCGGCGAGCTACCTGCGTAGAAGCGGATGAGGCAGCCGGTCTCGGAGTCCATGCCCTCCTCCTGCGCGCGCCAGGGGTCGCGGAAGCCCAGCTGCGCGAGGTAGTCGCTTTGGAGGCGCAGGGGCTTCTCGGCGGGGGAAAGGCGCCTCGCGGTCTCCCCGTGGAGCTGGACGTAGAGGCCCAGAGGCGGCGGCGGCGGGGACGGAGGAGGAGGAAGAGGAGGCGTTGCTGCTGAAGGCGAGGAAGCCGCGGCCTTAGTAGTAGTCGTCGTCGTAGTAGCAGGAGCAGCAGAGGGGGCGCCTTCTTCTTCTTCTTCTTCCTCTCCTTCCTCCTCCATGGCCTCCTTCTTCTTCCGCCTCCTCCTCCTCCTCCTGGGCTCCTCGGCCTCCAAGTCCTCCAAGGAAGACGCCGAGGAGGAGGAAGAGGAAGAAGAAGAGGAGGAAAAGCCTTCTTCTTCTCCTCCTCCTCCTCCTTCTTCTCCCTCGGCGCTAGGGCTGAAGCCCTCCGAGTCGGAGCCGCCGGCGAGAGACGGGCAGGAGATCGGCGGGCCCGACAGGTAGATGGAGGCCTTCCCCTCCTCCTCCTCTTCGTCTTCTCCTTCGAGATGGGCCTCCTCGGCTTCTCCCCCTTGGCCTTCTTCTTGGCCCAAGACGCGGAGCGCCCCTCCTCCTGCCCTCCTCTGTTGCTGCTGCTGCAGCCTGGCTGCCACTTGCCCCGCGGTGGTCTCCAAGGTGCACAGCACCGGCAGCAGGTAGCAGTGGTGGTGGTGGTGGTGGTGATGGTGGTGGTTGGAGTAGTAGACATGGACGCAGCCCCGGCGGAGGTCCCGCCGCACCCAGTCCCGCTCCGGCGCCTGCAGAGGCTGGACCTGCCGCGGGGGCTTCGGGAGAAGGAGAAGCGCCTTCCGGTCCAGGCTGCGCGAGGCCGGAGGAGCAGCCGGAGGAGGAGGAGGAAGCAGCGAAGGCGAGGCGGCGGAGGAGAGGTTCCTCTTGAGGCGGCCTCGCCTCACCAGGAGCGAGTTGGCCCCGTTGGACGAAGCCAGGGAAGCCGAGGAGGCAGAAGAAGGAGTCGTCCCCGGCGTCCCCTTGGCGGCGGCAGCGGCGGCCGCTCCCCCGCGCTTGCGTCGCCTCTGCTGGGCTCCTTCAAGGCCCATGGCGCTCCCCTCTCCTTCTGGTTGCTGCTGCTGCTGCGCAGGTTCCATTAGGATGGGTTGCCGAACGTTCCGAAGAAAGGAGGCGAAGGGGAGGGATTAGGTCGCCATGGCGAACATTCCGCCGCTGTCTCCTCCGCGTTCCATCCGGCTCAGCCTCGCCGCGCGCGCCATTAGCCGCTGACTGGACTGGGCGGGAGAGGCAGGCAAGCGCGCGCCTCCGCCTCCTCCTCCGCTTCGCCTTCCCTTCCAAGGCCCCACCCACTAAGCCAAGCCTCTCCTCTCTTCCCCCTCCCTCCTCCCGCCTTATGAATATTCATAAAACCCTCTTAGCCTTCCCTTTTCAAGGCCCCACCCACCAAGCCTCTACTCTCCTCTCTTCCCCCCTCCTCCCGCCTTGCCTTATGAATATTCATAAAAACAGGATTTGCTTGCTCCTCCTCCGCTTCAGAACGTCATCGCCTCTTCGCTTCGCTTCCAAGGCACCACCCACTAAGCCTCTACTCTCCCCCACACCCACCTTATGAATATGCACTCCCCCTGAAGCCACAAGTCCGCAGTTTGGGAGTTTGGCTACATATTGGGAAGTCTGATCTGGCCACAGTGGTCCACGCTCTTGTTACATCCCGAATAGACTACTGCAACGCACTCTACGTGGGGGTGCCCTTGAAGACTGTTCAGAAACTTCAACTGGTCCAGCGAGTGGCAGCCAGATTGCTCACCGGAGCGACATACAGGGAGCACACCACCCCCCTGCTGTGTCAGCTCCACTGGCTGCTGGTTCATTTCCGAGCACAATTCAAGGTGCTGGTTTTGACCTACACGACACTTTACGGTTCCGGTCCAGTGTATCTGTCCGAACGTATCTCCCTCTACGTCCCACCCCGGAATTTGAGATCATCTGGGGAGGCCCTGCTCTCGACCCCACCGCTATCACAAGTGAGGCTGGTGGGGACGAGGAGCAGGGCCTTCTCAGTGGTGGCCCCTCACCTGTGGAACTCACTCCCGGGGAAATTAGGGCATCAACATCCCTCCTCTCCTTCAGGAGGAAGGTAAAGACGTGGTTGTGGGACCAGGCCTTTGGGCAATCTGACATTTAGACATGGCAGCCAGATGGATAGGACTGAAAGGACTGACAATTGTGGAATTGGAATTTGAACTATGAGATTGTGAAACGCTGACCGTCAATGAGGTTTGTATTGGTTTTATTGCTCTTATTGGTTTTATGGTTGTTTTTGCCTATAATAATTATTGTTTCTGTTAATTGTGTTATTGCCAGAATTGTTGTTTTGTTAACTGATGTTATTGTCTTTTGTTGTTATGTGATGCGGGCATCGAATTGTGCCTTGCTTTTGTAAGCCACCCTGAGTCCCCTCCGGGGTGAGAAGGGCGGGGTAGAAGCAACCGAAATAAATAATAATAAATAAACGCTGCCGCCTCTTTGCCTTCACTTCCAAGGCACCACCCACCAAGCCTCTACTCTCCTCTCTTCCCCCCTCCTCCCGCCTTATGAATATTCACAAACAGTAAGGGCTTGCTCCTCCTCCGCTTTAGAACGCCACCGCCTCCTGTTTGCCTTCCCTTCCAAGTCTCCACACAGCAAGCCTCTCCCCCCCCCCCTTATGAATATACACTCCCCCTGAAGCCACAGGTCCGCAGTTTGGGAGTCCTTTTGGATTCATCACTTACGCTGAGGCTCAGGCATCAGCGGTGTCCGGGAGGGCTTTTGCACAATTGAGACTTGTGCGCCAACTGCGACTGTACCTCGCAAAGGCTGATCTGGCTGGGGTGGTCCATGCCTTAGTCACCTCTAGATTGGACTACTGTAATGCGCTCTATGTGGGGCTGCCCTTGAAAACGGCTCGGAAATTTCAACTGGTCCAACGGGCAGCGGCCAGGATGTTAACTGGTGCTCCTTACAGAGAAAGGTCAACCCTCCTGTTCAAGGAGCTCCACTGGCTGCCGTTTATTTTCCGAGCCCAATTTAAGGTGCAGGTGCTTACCTACAAAGCCCTGAACGGTTTGGGACCATCCTACCTGCGTGACTGCATCTCCGTTTATGAACCCAAGCGTGTACTTCGTTCATCCAAAGAGGCCCTGCTCGTGATTCCGCCCGCGTCGCAAGCGCGTTTGGTGGGGACACGAGACAGGGTCTTTTCTGTGGTGGCCCCCTGACTCTGGAACACCCTTCCCAAAGATCTTAGACAGGCCCCTACATTGGCAGTCTTTAGAAAGAACTTGAAGACCTGGCTGTTCCGATGTGCCTTCCCAGAATAGGAAAACTCCAATAACAAGTCCCAGAAGCACTTTAGTAGAAATTAAGATTGCTGGCACACTGCACTTACCCTATAATCCTACATATCACCTGTCACATCAGCACCTTTAATCTGTACCCTTCACTCTGGCCCGGCCTAGTTTTATTGTGTCTTGGTGTATTGTTTTATTGCTTGTTGTTTATATTGCTTTAACTGTTTTTGATTTGCCTTATGAATATTCATGAAACAGGATTTGCTTGCTCCTCCTCCTCTTCAGATCTACTCTGCCTCCTCTTCGCCTTCCCTTCCAAAGCCCCACCCACCAAGCCAAGTCTCTCCTCTTCCCCCCTCCCGTCTTATGAATATTCATAACACAGGATTTGCTTGCTCCTCTTCAGAACGCCTCCGCCTTCCCTTCCAAGGCCTCGCTCAACAAGCCAAGTCTCTCCTTTTCCCTTTCCCTTCCCCCTTATGAATATTCATGATCAGGATTTGTTTGCTCCGCCTCCTTTTTAGAACACCACCGCCTCTTCGACTTCCCTTCCAAGCCTCCTCTTCCCCTCCCGCATTATGAATATTAATGAAACAGGATTTGCTTGCTCCTCCTCCTCTTCAGAACGACGCCGTCGCCTCTTCGCCTTCCCTTCCAAGGTCCCGCCCACCAAGCCAAACCTCTCCTCTTTTCCCCCTCCCTCCAGTCCTTATGAATATTCATGAGATTGCTTGCTCCTCTTTAGAACGCCGCCGCTTCTTCGCCTTCCCTTCCAAGGCCCCACCCACCAAGCCAAGCCTCCTCCACCCCCCTTATGCTTCCACCAAACGGGTGGCATATTGACATTGTGTTTTTAAAAAAATCTCCATATTCATAAGGCGCGGTGACGCCATCTCCTCGTGAAATGGGCTGAGGGATAAACAAAACGTGACCAAGGCGGAACAAAAAGGCATGCTGGGAAATGTAGTGCCCTGGCTTGGCTTTGGAATGAGGGCAGAGGCAAACGCGAACAGCATTTCCCGTCAGGCTTTGCTTCCTGTGAGAGAAAGTGCTCTTTTTCGTGGTGGCTCGGTTTCCCCGCCCCTTTTTTCAGAGCGCCACGCCCCCTGGCGGTGCCGCGCGTGCCCTTGACTCTTGTCCGGAGAGGCCCCGCCCCCGCCGTCCAGGGCTTCTTCCCGCGCGCCCTGACGCTTCCTCGATTCTTGCAGGGAAAGGCGCCCAATAGGCCGCAATAGGGATGGGGCTGAAATAAGTCATGTTGCTGAATCTACAAGGCATGCAATTGAGGATACTGACTGTACTCTTACACGAAAATGCATACCAGGCCGTAAGAATCAAACCTTCCCTGTGGATCCGAAGAAAGGTGGCCTCAGTAGGGCTGTGTGATCACGTGAAAATTTCGTTACTGTAATGCAATTCCATTACCTTTTCGTTATAGTAATTGCACAAGTGAGGAAACTTTCTCCCTTGTTTTTACAGCGATTGGGGTGAAACATGCAACAATGGCAGAACACATAACGACAACAACAACAATAATAATAGGTTGCTCAGGGTCAACCTAAGTCTGAAAAGACTTGAAAGCACACAACGACGACAACAATCCTATCTCATCGGCCAAAAGCAGGCCCACACTTCCCATTGAAATACTTCTAAGTTTATATTTATTAAAATTGTTCTTCATTTTAAATATTGTATTGTTTTAAGTGTTTTTTTGCACTACAAATAAGATATGTGCAGTGTGCATAGGAATTCATTCATTTTTTTCAAATTATAATCCGACACTCCAACAGTTTGATGGACTGTGACCTGGCCCTCTGTTTAAAAAGTTTGAGGACCCCTGATCTACAGAGACACTCACTGGAACACCTCAGCAAGCGAGAGTCCAAAAGTGGCAGGCTAAAACCCAGCGCCTCAATCAATGGATGATACCAAATGAGAGAGTCCATCCTGGACGACTTGGAAGGTGCTGAACAGACTGCGCTCTGGCACCACGAGATGCAGAGCCAACCTTAAAAAATGAGGCTTCAAAATGGAGTCCACGACATGCGAGTGTGGAAAAGAGCGAACCACAGACCACCTATGCAGCCTGAGACTTTCCACATGCACAATGGAGGACCTTCTCACAGAGGCACTCCAAGTGGCCAGCTACTGGCCAAAGGACATTTAGCATAATGCCAAGTTTTCAAACTTTGCTTGTGTTTTTAAATACATTACAACTGTATCCTTGGTTTGCTTCTGACACAATAAATAAATAACATGCCTCCGCCATTCCCACTTTGCCTCAATTATTATTAACATTTCCGTTTAAAATAAGGATATATTTCTATCACAATATTTTGCTATTTAAAACAGGTTAATAAATTGACCTTAATTTGCAAACATTGCTTCTTCCCTCCCCCTTTCTGCTTAAAAGTGATTTATAGTGTGCTGTTTGTACTCTTAGCTGAGAACATTTTTCTGGCAACCTTTCCCATCTCCCAGCGTTACACAGGGGAAGGAGGCAGCATATTGTACTGGAATTTCTAGCTGTCTTGTTCAATTATCAGAGGAATGGAGAGGGGGGCAAAGGCATTCTAATGTGGCCATCCAACCCACTCCCATCAGAGACAATAGACTTCCCAATGTAAATGCATAATGGGAGGATATACTGCATGGAAGAACGGGTGAGATACAGAAGCAGCTTCAGCCCTTCCTCTGCCCAGTCACTCTTCTCTTAGTGAAGTCAATTGATTCATCTACACTGAATTAATGCAGTGTGGCTTCGCTTTAACTGGCGTGGTTCAGTGCTATGGAAGTTGACTTTGTATAAGTTCGTTCACTTTCTTCGCCAAAGAGTGCTTGTGCTTCCCTGAACCACATCTCCCAGGATTTCATAGTGTTATGCCATGACAGTTAAAGTGGTGTTGAACTGCATTAATTCTACAGTGTAGATGCACCCAGTGTGATAAATACCCTTTTCACCCATCCACAAATGCTCTTGTCCCTTGCAGTCACATT